AAGCAGTTAAAGGTTGGAAAGTCTCCTGGAACAGATGGACTGACTTCTAGGTATTATAAGATTTTATCTGAAGAAATGATAGAGCCACTAAAGGAACTCTTTAATAGTATTTTGTTGTGTATGCAAGTTCCTCCTTCTTGGAAAAGAGCTTTTATATCACTGATTCCGAAGGAAGATCAGGATCTTACAGAGCCTAAGAATTATAGGCCAATTTCATTATTGAATGTTGATTATAAGATCTTTACAAAAATTTTGGCAAATAGATTAATGCAGGTTATGAAAGACTTGATTCATAGTGATCAAGCAGGATTTATAACAGGGAGATATATGAAACATAATGTTAGACAAATTATTAACTTAATTGAGTACTTGGATAAGAATAATCAGATTCCTGTGGCTTTTATCTTTTTGGACGCTGAAAAAGCTTTTGATCAATTGGACTTGCAATTTTTATTTTCTTTGGTAGAGAAAATGAATTTTGGGGATAATTTTTTACATGCACTTAAAGCTATATATCAGCAGCAATCTGCACAAATTGTTGTAAATGGGGATTGACTGAGAATTTCAATATTCAAAAAGGGACAAGACAAGGATGTCCATTATCCCCATTGTTATTTGTTTTAACATTGGAAATTTTATTGATTCAGATTCGGGAATCGAAGTGAGTTAAGGGTGTAAAGATAAGGAAGAATGAGTATAAATTGCGGGCATTTGCGGATGATTTGGTTTTAATTTTGGAACAGCCGAATCAGGCGATTGATGGTTTATTAGAACTTATAACACAGTATGGGAATGTTTCTGGTTTTTAAGTTAATAATTATAAGACTAAGATATTATCTAAGAATATGTCAGTTAAAGAAAGGGAAAGTTTGATTAAAGCCACAGGTTTTCAGATGGTAAAAAAGGTTAAATACTTGGGAGTATATCTAACTGCTTCAAATGTAAAATTGTACAAGAACAATTATGAACCACTATGGGCAAAAGTCCAAAAGGATTTAATAGATTGGAAAAAATTGCAATTGTCATTGTTGGGGAGAATTTCAGCTGTAAAAATGAATGTTCTACCAAAGTTTCTTTTTTTGTTTCAGATGATACCTATTCTTAAAAAGAGGCAAATTTGGAGGAATGGCAAAAGGGTATCAATAATTTTATATGGGCCGGGAAGAAACCAAGGGTTAAATTTAAGATATTACAGGATGCTCGAGAAAGAGGGGGACTTAAGGCACCTAATTTGAAATTATATTATGATGCAGCCGCCTAACTTGGTTAAGTGATTGGCTTAATTTAACAAATATGGATATTCTTTTTTTGGAAGGTTGGGATTTAATATATGGTTGGCATGCATATTTAATTTTTAATAAGAAAGTTGCTCGGACTTTTAAATCACATATTTTGAGGAATGCCTTACTTCGTGTTTGGAAGAAGTATTATTATAGATTAAATTATAAAATACCTATCTGGGGGATTCCCAGACATGCAATTGAGGGACCCTCTAAGGGGACAAATTTTGATAAAATTTCATATAAAGAATTGTTAATTTGTTCTGGTTCGAATTGGCATTTGAAATCCCTAGATGTATTAAAGCAGCAAAATATTCTACAGTCATGGTTTCAATATTTACAAATACTGGATAGATGGACTGTAGACAAGAAAGAGGGAATAACACTAGAAGATAGACAATTGGTTATTCAGATTAAAAACCAAGGTCCGGCTCATATAAAAAGAATATATAATGTTTTATTAGAGTTAGATTTGGAAACAGAATTGGTTAAAGACTGTATGATTAAATGGGCTCAGAATATACAGGAGCCGATCTCATTGGATTTATGGGAGATAATTTGGATAAGAAATGTTAAATTTACACAAGCTCAAAATTTGAGAGAAAATTTTTATAAAATGTTTTATAGATGGCATTTAGATCCTAAAAATTATCTTGTATGTATTCCAACATACAGCCCAAATGTTGGAGATGTGGCAATAATGATGGGACATACTTTCATATTTGGTGGAATTGTAAAAAAGTAAAGGCTTTTTGGATTATGATTTGGTGGAACATTCAAAAGATTTTTAGAAAGAAGATAAAGTTTACTCCTCAACTATTTTTACTTGGTATTTTTGTTGACTTAAATGAAAAAGAAACTACTTTGATGTTTAATTTATTAACTGCAGCAAGGTTACTAGTAGGTCTATATTGGAAGAAAGATTCTTTGCCTACTTTAGAAGAATGGATATTTAAAGTATCTAGTTTTGCAGAAATGGAAAAAATTTCTGCTTATTTAAAGGATCATACACAAGAAAGATATATTACTGTATGGGGAAGGTGGATAGATTATATTCAGAAAAAATATGGAATTAAAAAGTTTAATTTATTTTATGAATGAATATCAAATATTATAGAGAATTGTTTTATAAGTTATGGAGTTAAAGGTTAATTATGATATTTTTTTTTCTTTCTCTTTTTTTTTTCTTTTTTTAAATTATTATAATTTTCTTTTTCTTTTTTTTCCTTAACCCTGTATTCTGCTCTGGGAAGTGAAGGGAGGGGGGGTGGGGGTGGGAGGGAGGGTAAGGGGGGGGTTCTCTATTTTAAAATTTTATTGTATTTTTATAAATGATTGTATGTTTTAAAAAATAAAAATTTTCAATAAAAAAAAAAATAAGTTTCCAACAACTGACTTCATGCGTTTATTTTTAAGGGAGATTCCCCCCTCTTCTTCATTCCTGTGGATGCAACCCTGACACATCACACTACAAAAAGTTGTCTGGCTATATTCACACATGGCAATAAACTGTTATGTGATTTGTCTTGAAGTAGTTGAGCGTCTTATATATCTATGCAAATGTGGTTTATTGATTAAACAAAAAATCATGCTATTTAAATATATTCTATTCCATCATCATCTTAGCAAGCCAGCCCCCCTCCCACTTTTTGATTATCCTATCCTTGTGAATCCTCAGTTTAATACCTTTTTATTTTATTCTTTGAAATACAATACTGGTACTGCAGACCATTCATTGCATTAAATAATTATAGTAATTCTTTGTCCCTACAGGGAATCAATTTACTCAGTCTTACACGAGCAACATTTTAAAGCCTTCTCATGGCAGCATTTATTATTTGCAAGGAGGCAGTTTATCCCAGTAAATACAGCAGCGATCTTTAATATTTTAAGGGGAGGGGACCTATGATCTGTAAAATACAGTAAAATTTTCTTCATGTAAGAAGTGGGAGGAAAGAAGTCCTGTGCTGAGTTATGCTTACCGTAATAAGCAAAAGAAAAACCCATCTTAATTATTAACATATGACTTTGTATTCATGGAAACTCACCAGGCAAATTTTAAGATTTTTGAAAGGAAAACAAAAATGCAGGCAAGCTATTCTGACTCCAGTTCTACTATACAGTATTTCTATATGTTGATAGAGCTGCAATTAGAATAGCTCAACTGCAGCTGCTTTGCAGTTCAGGGTATTTACACAATAATTACAAAGTTTGCTCAGAGAAGGTGGAGCTTAGAGACAGAAACCTAGCAGAACTTAAACAAGAAATCTACACAAGAACTAGTTCACAAACTGAGGTCCAGCCTCCTGTTTCCTGTAAAGACAGCACATCATTTGCCTCTGCCAATCCCTCAAGCAAGGTACAGTAAGCTATCTGAAACTGCTTCTAAACCTGGAGGTTCCATTAAACTGTCATCTTTTTCTTCCATGAAAAATGAATTTATGGCTTATGATAAAATAAACTTTAGGGCTTAGAACAACTGAATTCCCCCTCCTCAGCCTTTGCTGCTTTAAATTCCATATATACAGTTAAGTATGTTTTTAAAAATGGGTAATTCTTACAATAAGTTTCCTGTAGATAAGTGTTTCTCAACTGTGGCAATTTAAGATGGACGAACTTCAACTCCCAGAATTCCAGAGCCTGCTCTAGGTCATATCTTATTTGTAGTACAGTGGTTAAGGGAGTGTTTTTTTTAATCTTGGCAGGTTGAGGAAGTGTAAACTTCAGCTCCCAGAATTTCCCAGCCACCTTACTTCCTATTGTAGTTTACAATCCTGTGATTTCCCTTCCAAGGATTAGTTATTATTTAGAAATAATATCCACATTCATCCAGAATCAACTTTCATGTCGAGGCCTACATTCTAGACCTGTTAGATTTTTACTCCCATTGCATATGAGCTGGGAATTCTGGGAGCTGAAATCCAACTCAGTCAGAAGACATTGACTTGGGAAGGGCCTCTTGGATAGTGTTGGTGTTAGATTGGTTCATCCTCCTCCAGGGCAGTGCTTTTCAACTTGACAACTAGAAGATGTGTAGATTTAAACTCCCAGAATTCCCCAGCCAAGGATTCTGGAAGTTGAAGTCCATATATCTTCAAGTTGCCAACGCTGAAAAACACTGCTCCAAGAACTGCAATTCGGTGCCTTTAGGATGACTCATAACTATTACTTGCACCTTCCTGGTGTGAGATATGTGTGATCAAAAAGGGAGGGCTGGGTGAGGTGATCACTGCCAGCAGGGCAGGGGGGCAAAAGAGAAACTTTTGGAAGGAGTGAGGTGCCCCCAAAGGAGATTGCACAGAAACTACATTCAGACAGGTGGGGGAGGGGCAGAATCGTGGTTTCCTTACTTTGGGGGATTCGCATAACGAGGTTGGCCCTGGAAAGCTAAGGATCAATTAAATGTCCATCCTGCCAGCGGGTGTTCGCGCAGGAAAGCTGCAGCAGGACTGCGGTCTGGGAAAAGCCCCCGTGCAGGCTAGGCTACCCTATGTCGTACAAAACAGAAAATCAATTGCAGAGGGCAGGATGTGGGTGTCACCCACCTCCCCCGTTCCTCTAATCTTTCGGATATTTCCTGATGCTCCAGATTAAAACCCAGGCTTTGGGCTATTTTCTTTCTTTCGTTCGTTCGGGTTTTTTTTTTTTTTTTGCATCAATCGTGCCTCTAGCTCACTCTCCTTTTTTTTTTTTTTTTTTGCATCCGGGGGAGGCGGAGAATCTGGGCCGGAAGCCGAGGAGGGAGGGGGAAATCCGTGGGCTTTTTTCAGTCCCGCCTGCGCGGTCGCCTCCGCCGCCTCCGCGAGCTCTCGCTTGTGTCACGGGTGCTGACGACAGCAGCCTCCTCCGCAGCCCGTCGCCATGGCAACCTTTTGTTGCCTCCAACGCTCGAGTGGTCCAGCCGAGGAGGGAGGCAGTAGGGGCGGTATATAGGCAAGGCTCGGGTGGGGGGGGAGTCAAGGAAGGAAAGTCCAGTTCCCCACCCAGAAAAGAGGAAGGCTGGAAAATCCTACGGGAAGAAGAGGAGCTGGGCCAGAAGGACGGAAGAGAAGAGATTTATTATATTGATTAAATTGTACAGACGCCGCTTATAAAGAGTGGGCTATTTGGAAGGAGGAGAGGAGGAAGAAAAGGCAAGCGCATCTTGGAACGGAGAAACCCTCAGCCTTCTTCCCCAAGGGAGAGAGCAGATTTCTTGACAGAGGAGAGTTGGGGGTAACTGTCCTGAAAGTCTCCGTTGAAAAACAGCACTGACTGGTAATGTTTCTCATTTTTCTCCAGCAAAACTGGGCATCAAGGATTAACTGGAGTTGGCATTGCTGTTTTTGTAAATTCAGAAATAATTATTTCTAAGGTGAGGCCTTGTGGAGGAGAAGAGGACATGAGGGATGAGGAATTGAATATTTGGGAGTGGGAGGTCCTTTGAGACCGAAGAACATCCAGTGAAGGAATTGGGGTGTGTGTGTGAGAGAGAGTGAGCTGTCCTCAAATGCAGAGAAAGGCTAAGAAGAGGGATGCATGCCATCATATTTATATATATTTATATTTATATAAATGGATATATCACATAAATTTAATAAATATGTTGCGGTTGTTTTAAAATTGTGAGTCAACTAAAGTAGCTACCATGCCTTTGCAAGACTTGTGGACCATGTACTGTACAAAATATGAGCAAAGAATTGCTCAGTTGCTATTAGGGACCATGACAGTAGCACAACTCAGCTAAATCTTGAGTAGATGAGTTCTGAAGGAAGGAGAATTGTAGATGAAGCATTATTTAAGGGCTATTAAAGAGAGCAGAGAACTGAAGCCAGATACAAAGATCAGTGCCCTTTGAGAGGGATGGAAGGGAAGTGGAGTTGTGACTGGGTAAAAGTCAAAATGGAGTTGGAATGACTGCTCAAAAAGTTGTGATAAAGGAGATGGATTTTGGCAAGCCTCTATGGAGGTGAGGTTGTGTTCTCAAACTGGCATCTAGAGCACAGAGCTGAAAGAGATGGGCAGTTGACATTAGGCAAGCTTAAATGTATTTTGTTTTATTTCTTATAATGTTTATCATTTGCCCAACATCGCAGGGATAGCTATATGTAGGGGAAATCATGTATAACTTGAGTTAAAATCAAGTGTGTAGATAAAAATGAGTATGATCTGCATCTTTTAAAATTTGAAAACTAGATGATTCAGCATCATAGGTGTATCTGTGGGGAAGAAAGTTTGAAACCAGAAGGGAAATAGAAAATGAAGAAATATAGCTGGCAGCTGAAATCAGAATACCCAGAGTATCTGCAGACAGGACTTTTAATAGATGAAACTAAGAGGCAAAACTAGATAGAGAAAACTATGTAAGTCATATTGGAAGTGGAATTTTAGAAGCAGCATATTTATTAGATCACCCTTATTCTACCCGAAATGCAAGTATACCTGAAATGAAAAGGGGAGTCTATTTTTTGGTCAGAATTTGGGCTGTGGAGTTAGGGTGCAAGGCATAAGTTTCAAGGTAAATGGGAGGACAAATTGGCTTGCTGCATTATATCCTATATTATATTCTTATATAAAGCTCAGGGTTGAAATGAGGGGTCCTTGGTGTTTTCTGAGCTTGCCTGTTTTCTTGCAGATGTTTCATAACCAGATGCTAGTCCTGATCATGTTACCTAGTTAGGGTAATGAAACATCTGCAAGAAAACAAGCAAGCTCAGCACCAAGGGCTCCTCATAAAGAATTCTAAATAGCACCATATTGTTAAACATGCAAGATTTTGGGACATTCAGGGACATCATCCATGTCCTACCAGCACCCCAGATTGCAGTAGAAATCCTGATCTTCCTTTTATGAAAGGGAGGGCTTTTTGCTTTTGTTTTTACTTTAGATCTTTAGTTGACAATTGGGGCAGGAAAGCAAAATCTATAGGGAACAGTTAAAAGCAAACTGGGCTTTTCTCCTGGTAAAAGGTGAGAACAGCTGGTGCCAAAACTTCCTCTCTCTCTTTGCACCAATCTGGGGGGGGGGGGGAGAGTATGAGTCACAATTTAGCATCAGAACTTTCCCCACCCTGATTTTTGAGCCCAGGGCTGTGATGGTGAAAGTGGGAGGGGTGACAGAGGTGGCTGAGAAATGCGCATTAACAGTCCAGGCTGGGGAGAATCCTAGGGATAATAGAGAGTCCACTGCCCCTTTAAGAGGCTGTCTTCTCCCTCCCCCCATTCCTCCATTTTCCCATCATCTCCATCATCCCCCCCTCCCCGCGCATTATTCCTGCAGCATCATAGTTTCCAGTCCCTTCCTTCCCCTCCCCTCCCCTTCCCTCCCTGTGTAGCCTAAGAAGCAGGGTCCCCTCTGGCTGTCAACAGAGAGAGCTCCAGGGGAATGACTGAGGTAGGATATGGGGAACTATTTGGCTTTGTAGAGAAGTTGAACTTGCTGATGATTGGGTTGACCACCCTTATTTCAGGCCTTCTTGTACTTATTCCTATCTGTTCCTTTTTTCCTCTGCCAGTTTTCTTCTGCTTCATCATATCATTTGCTGACTGCAGCTGATTCATCCATTGATTTGGCTGGCTCCAAAATCTATTTCTAACTCTCTCCCCTACCTCATTCTGTATCCCTGCAGGTCCCATGCTCCTCTCTTGCTAGAAGCAACAGAAAAATAATTTGTTAGAATAAAAAAGAGAGTTAAAGTTTTGCATTTGTTGGGCGGTCAAGTTTAAGACATGAGAAATATTAACCTTTAATTGTTAAATTGTACCAATTCTTAAGACTTTGCTTCTTTTCTCTCTCTCTCTCCTTCCCCCCCACCCCTTAGTTGTTATGTATGCTGAACCATCCAACATGAATTTCCGGAACCATGGGTTCTTTCGCCGTTCTCCGCCCACTTCGGTGGCGAAGCCATCTCCTGCTGCTGGGAACACATTGTCGGTCTTGGGAGGCATTGCTCAAATCTCTCCTTGTCTCTATCTCTGCTCTGGCAATGCTGCATCAAATAGACACATGGTGTACTCCCGGGCAGTGAGCTGTATAGTAAACGCTACCATGGAAATCCCTAACGCCAACTGGCCAGACATTGACTATGTGAAGGTGCCTGTTCCGGACCTTCCCCATGCTCCACTCTCCTTGTACTTTGACTCCGTGGCTGATAGGATACACCAGACAGGGAAGAAGAATGGAAGAACTCTAGTTCACTGCGTGGCAGGTGTCAGCAGGTCTGCCTCCCTCTGTATTGCTTACCTAATGAAATATCATCGGTTGAGCCTCCTGGATGCTCATGAGTGGGTGAAGAGCAGGCGACCGGTTGTAAGGCCCAATGTAGGCTTCTGGAGACAGCTCATTGAATATGAACGCAAGTTGTTTGGCAAGAACACCGTCAAGATGGTGCCATCCCCCATTGGGTTGATCCCAGATGTATATGAAAAGGAGACCCGTGGGCTGGTCCCCTTGTGGAATTTGAGATAAAGGCTATCATTGAAATGGGCTGTGGGCCACATTGACTTAGAATGAAAAAGTTCCACCATGTTAGGATGTTAAACAGGACTGTTCAATGTGGTGGATCTTAATAAGAAATTCTGTTATTGTAGTCTTTTTCTAAGACCTTGCAATATGAGTACAGTAGATCATGGAAGACATGAGTTGCTTGAACTTTTCAGTGTAATAGACAATGCTGTTTGTTACCACCCTGTCAAACATTGCTAGAACCTGTATTTTGCTTACAGTCTGAGATGAGAAATGGTTAAACAGAAACTTACTTAAACGTACAGGCAGTAAAGATTACTGTACTATCTGACACCAAGACTCCAATTATAAATTAATCTTTGCATAGTAAGGAGAAATATCTTTCCCTTTTCCTCCCCTTTCTGAGTCAAGAGTTTCAGAAATCCTTTCTTGGGTTTGCTTTGATTTGAATAAGCACAATATACTTTCCTTTCTGGAAAATTAAGCCCTAAGGTGATGTGAATTAAAATGATGATTTTATGCCCATAAACTCTAAATAGCAGAAGTCAAGAAACTGAGGGTAGCACAACTATCAACAATAGGCATAAGCTAACTCTACAAGAGAATGTTATTTCATATATATATTCACTAAGCAGGTTGCAACTTGGCCACGATATTCCATATATCACTATTTAAGGATGCTCTAATAGAGGACTATTTAAACTCTTGTGGGGAAGATAGGAATTTTTGAGTATTGGCTCAGGTTACCTTCAAACAGGGTAGATATGTAATTGAAAAGGGGTTAAAGAATAAATACGCTAATCAAGTCTTTTTTGTACCCCTCGTTAAGATTAAACAGTATGTAGCAGGGAAACTTTCTCAACACGTTGCACCTTAAAAAAGGGAGAAAAAGAGTACATCTTGAAAGTTAACACATTCACAGTTGGGCGAGAAAGCTACACAGTGAACAAGTAGTAGAGTCACAATTTGGTGTGAACAAGCAGTCCTGTAGTTTTGATGATGTGATTTGCAGTATTTTATAACAAAAAGGATTCCTAAGTGAAGCTTTTCTAATACAAAGGCATAAAATTGGAAGATGTATCCATTGTTGGGCGAACATCAAGTGAGGTCTAAGTGTATCATGGTGTTTCTCAGCCTTGGCAGGTTTTAGATATGTTGACTTCAACTCCCAGAATTCCCCAGCCACCATGGCTGACTGGGGAATTCTGGGAGTTGGAAGTTCACACATCTTAAACTTCCAAGGTTGAAAAACACTAGTGTAGTAGAGGATATTAAATAGGAGGTGAGGTATCCAAACCGGTCAGCATATCAAAATGGTTTAATGATTGAAGCAAGGTTTTGGACAATACTTCCATAATAATTATAGGAAGGTATAATAAAAATGGAGAAAAAATGAATCTGATTCCCTTTAAATATGTTGAAATGGTAACTCCCAACTTTTGTAGCCAGTGTGGCCTTGATTAGAAGTTGTCATTCCAGTATACCAAAAGGGAGAACCATGTTTAAAGAAAGCTGTCTTAAAAGAACTCTATTAGGAACAAATTCTGGAGGAAAACATCAGCCTAAATCAGGGGTCTTCAAACTTGGTCCTTTTATGACTTGTGGACTTCAACTCCTGGCTGAGGAATTCTGGGAGTTGAAGTCCACAAGTCATAAAAGGGCCAAGTTTGAAGACCCCTGGCCTAAATGGAAGAGGCCCAGATGTGTTTTTCATAAATATCACATAAGCAGAGTCTATAACCAAAAAGTGAGTCTATGCTTATGAAAGCAATGGCTTAGCAGCATTTCATAACTGTATTTCTCTGTCCAGAACAAAGAATATAGTTCATTCCCATCTAAGATTGTTTGATTGTATTGACTTTTCAATACAATTGCTAACTGGGCTTTTCACAAAACAGTAACTTAAAAGTTTTATATCCATATATGCAGCTAGTAGATTAGTATATTTTCTGTAAAAAAGATAAGTTTACTGCAAATTCTTCTATGGTACGAATTGAATGGGTGAATTCTGTAACCTTCCTGTTCTTATAGAAAAATGTAATTGGAGTTTTTTTTAGGTATTCCCAGAATAATCCAGAACTAAGCTATTGGCCAGCAGTGTGTGGATTTCTAGGAGTTGAAGTCTACACTTTAACTGAGATTGAAAAACATTAGTATATAGGTCATCTAACCAAGCAATTCAGAAATCTATTAAATTTATGTAGCTAGAAAATAATTATTTCCCACATTTATAACATAGAAACTGAAAGTTGTCTTTCTTATAGATCTTATTTTTAATGGATATATAACAATTTGGATATGTCATATTTTGACATTTTACATGGGGACAGGGTTATGATAATACAGGGATGACTTTTTGTGAGGAAGAAAACTCAGATGGATTATTTTAACTTTTTGTTTGTACACTGGTCTAGCACTTCCTGCATCGTAATTATTAGTGCCTCTAAATTTGTCTAGTGAAGGACAGTTGCATATAAATGCACAGTTTCACATAAATCTAACATTTTCATTTTTTCCCCATGAATATTTTTAGTTGTTCGAGCAATGGTATTAACAGAAGGGTTTGGGACTGAAAGCCATGATTGATCCACCTCTCTTTCAGAAGGAAACATAAATCTCCTCAAATCTCAATCTCTCTTTCTCTCTCTCATAGTATCTGCTTTATTTTATCAGGGTTCAGAGACTAAATAGGGTCAGATCTTTGTAATATTTGGATAGAAACCATTAGTCATGTCTTAGACCTGTCTAGGAAATCACAATACAAGCTCAGCTCGAAGGAGGTTACCTTTTTACCTCCCAAAATGCTCGTATTTCAATGGGTGATTAATTCGAAAACCCCTTTTAAGACCGAACATGGCATTAGCAAATCTAAGAACTGTGCAAGTGTTCAGAGCACAGCTTCCTTGCAAAGTAATTTTTGGGTTGGTTCCACAAGTAGAACTTCAAGAGACTCCAAGGAAGAATTTGCTCCAGAGTTTTCCACACAAGCTGGTCTTCTTTTCAAATGGTATGTGTGTGTGTGTGTGTGTGTGTGTAAATAATAAGTTATCTAAGGCAGTGCTTCCCAGCCTTAGCCCCTTGAAGAAGTATGGACTTCATTTTGGGAGTTGAGTCCGCACATCTTCAAGTTGCCATGGTTGAGAAAGATTGATCTAAGGTCTCTGTATAAACTGTACATAGAAAAGAGCTATGTCTATATAAAAAGTTCTGATGTCTTTTGACTTCAGTGACAAAAAGGTCTTCATAAAAATAATAAACAGTGAACAAGTAGCTTCTTGCAGCATTATTGTCAGTTTTATGGTGGGTGTGTGTATATATATATATATAGTTTAAAACATCTATACAAGATATATAGACAGAGAATGGGTACAGCTCAGGGCAGATAAGCTGTTTGTGCAGAAAGTTCCAGATTTAATCCTTGATAGCTTCAGTTCTCTCTTCCTGTGATTGTCAGAATATATTCCCTCTTGATGGATAGAGGTAGCCCTTGATTTACAATCATTCGTTTGTGACCGAGGTTACAACACCACTGAAAAAAGTGATTTACGACCCACTCCTCACACCTATGATTTGCAGCATCCCTATAGACAGATCAGAATTTGATTGCTTGGTAACACATAGATTTACAACGGTTGGAGTGCCCCAGGGTTATGTGATTGCCATTTGCAACCTTCCCAGGTGGCTTCTGATTGGCAAAGTTAATCGGGGAAGCCAGATTTGCTTAACAATTGCAGTGATTCACTTAACCACCATGGCAAAAAATGGTTGTAAAATTAGGTGCATCTCACTTAATAACCACTTTGCTTAACAATGGAAATTCTGGTCCTGACTGTGGTCATAAGCCAAGGACTACTGTACATGCTATCTTTCAGGCCTAATTGAGACTGGCAAGAATTGCCACATTCCTCTCTCTAAATATTGAGACTGTAAAATAGAACCTGAATTAGCAAGATCTAAGTAATCCCAGCCAGACCCCTGTAGAGATGTAACATGCATGGAAATACCTAACAAAGCGGGAGCCACTCCCCTTACACCACCTTTTTCAAAGTTGGGACCATTAAGACATGTGGACTTCAACTCCCAGAATTCCCCAGCCAGTATGCTAACCCCATAAGACCCATAGCTAGGAGATCCCCACCCAATTCCCTCTGATCATGTTTATTGATGCTATAATGCAACTACATAATACGGAAATCGACTACTGTGGAATCATGCAATAAGAAAATGGTGCTACTGTTTCATTAAACTTAGCAACGGAGTCTATTTAAAATAAACTATAGCAAAGTAGCCCTTCCAGAGAGATAGATTTGCTTGTTACACAGGAAATGATGCTGAATAAATCAGCAAACAGAATATAGACTAACAAGAGTTGGAAGGGACATTAAAGATTTTCTAGCCCAACCCTCTGCTTGAGCAGGAGATCCTATACCAGGGCTAGGCAACCTTGGCTCTTTTGGCTCATGGACTTCAACTCCCAGAATTCCTGAGCCAGCCATGCTGAGGGGAAAGGGAGAGGTTTCCATGCTGAGCCATGCTGGCCCAGGAATTCTGGGAGTTGAAGTCCACGAGTCATAAAAGAGCCAAGGTTGCCTATCCCTGTGCTAGACCATTCCAAACAAATGGAGGTCCAATTTCTTTTTGAAAACCTCCACTGATGGAGCATCCACAACTTCCGAAGGTAAGTTGATTAATTGTTCTCACTGACACGAAATTTCTCCTTAGTTCCAGGTTGAATTTCAAGAACTGAAAGACAACCATCATGTCACACCTAGTCCTTCTCTTTGTTAGATAAGATATACTTATTTCCCTTAACCATTCATTGTTTGTTTAGCCTCTAGTCCCCTAATCATTTTTGTTGCTTTTCTGTGACACTTCAGTAAAAAAAAACCTTGAAGTTAGCATAGGCAGAAGGGTGTTGGTGAAAATATCAATTCTTTTCAGTTAAAGTATAAAACATATTTTATTTCACAAATATAATATTTTTGTTTTCATAATGAAATGTAGAGATACTGACTCATGGATCAAATAATAAGCACGCAAAATCTAGCGTAGAACAAGATTTAATCTTCAGAAAACTCCCCACCCCAAAACAGGAGGAATGCCTCATAAATTTATATAGGGAAATAATACTCTATTTTTACATGGAATGAAAATAAAACAAGTCCCAATTCATACCATAGCTTTATATATTCCTGCTGAGGAATGTCTACGTTTGAGGGAAGAGATCACAATGTAGATAGTTCAAAAATGAGGGAATGCTAACAGTGACAAAACTTGGGGATATTAAAGAAAAAAACGAATTTCTTTCTGTGTCCATCCTCAGAAAATTTGCTTTCAACTGAAATACTTCTGTTCTTCCTTTGCCCAGGGAAAGTGCAATAATAATAATGTATCAGGAATTTTTCTTTGCATTCTGAGCAGAAGGGGAAAAAGATTAAGCATAAAAGAGGTTCCCTCATGGCTGTTTGGTGAGTTAAACCCCTTTTTCCAAAAGATCAGTGTAATCAATGTATGCCAGCCTCTCTTCCACCACAGAATCAACTGCTTTCCCCGTCTGAACTGATTACTCCTCGAAGCTGGGACCAGTCTGTGGTGTGACGGCGAACGGTTGGCTCCTCCGGAGAACTGGGTGAGTCTTGGGGCTTATTGTAAAGGCTCCAGACGTTACGACGCTTTGGACGGCCTGCATGGAGAGAAGAGAAAGGGAATGTTTTTCAGATGCGCTAGGCCGGCACCTCTATTGCAGTGGTCCCCAACCTTTTGGGCACCAGGGGCTACTTCAGTGGAGAGAGGTTTTTCTGAGGATCTGTATGTGTGTGTGTGGTTTTGTGTGCTGCCTGCATCCCATCCTATGTTTGTTTTGCAGGTTTCTAGCATGCCACAGCCTGGTGCTCGTTCACGGCCTGGGGGTTGAGGACCCCTGCTCCGTTGCATGGAGTCTGGGGAGTGTCTCTGGATTAGACTCACTCACTCTCAGCCAGGCTTTGAAAGAGAGATTGAGGTCCTTCTAAGCAGTTTCCTTTATTGTTCCTCACCTCTAGAGAGGAATCTTGCCAAGCTAAAAAAGGGTATTAGCCCCATGAAGCATATACAGGTAATCATCAATTTACACCATTTATTTAGTGACTGTTTAAAGCAGTGATTCTCAACCTTTCTAATGCCGTGACCCCATAATACAGTTCCCCATGTTGTGGTGACCCCCAAGTGGGTGTGGCCACCAATAAGAGGGAGTAGGACAGCTAGGGAAAAGGGAAAAAAATGGCGGACAGCGTGGTTTGGCGACCCCCGTGAAATGGTCATTTGACCCCAAATGGGATCCTGACCCACAAGTTGAGAACCACTAGTTTAAAGTTACTATGGCACTGAAGAAAGTGACTTAGGACCAGTTTTCAGGCTTAGAGCCGTTTCAGCATCCCCACGGGTCACGTAATCAAAATTCGGGGACGTGGCAACCGGCGTGTATTTGTGACAGTTGCCCTATCCCAGGGTCATGTGACCACCATTCCCAGCCAGCTTCCAAAAAGCAAAATATCCGCTTAAAGATCACACAATTCACTTAACTACGATGATTCACTTTACCACCATGGGAAAAAAGATTGTAAAGTCAGGCACAACTCACTTAATGCCTGAATAACGGAAATTTTGGGTACAATTGTGGCTCTAAGTCCAGGACTATCCATACTCTGGGAACTATTAGGGAGCAGTTGTCTTCCCCCTCTTCCTCCTCCCCCCAGCTATATACCCCCCCCCATCTTTTGTTCTGTCTTTTGCACTCGCTCCCTCCTGGGCATCTGGGCTACAGTCTCTCACGCTCTCCCAATGTGAAGGGCCTCAATCCAAAGTCCACTCAGGCAGAATCAGCCCTCCTCCCAGGCAGCAGAATGAGGCGGTGGCCTGGATCCTGAGGGGCACTAACAAGGCCCCAGGAGAAGAAAGCTACAGGCTGTCTCCCTTTAAGCTTGTCTGCTGCTTTCTGACATGTAGTCCTCAAATTTTGACCACAACAGAGCCCAAAATTTCTGTTAATAAGCAAGACAAGTGAGTTTTGCCCCATTTTACGACCTTTCTTGTCACAGTGATTTAAATGAATCACTGTAGTTGTCAAGTTAGTAACAGTTGTTAAGTGAATCTGGCCTCCCCATGGACTTTGCTTTGTCTAAGTCACAAAAGGGTGATCACATTTATTTATTTATTTATGAGACTTATATACCGCTTTAAGTGCAAGCACTCTCTAAGCGGTGTACACCAGTAAGCAATGTATATATATATATATATATTTACATTGCCCCCAACAATCTGGGTCCTCATTTTACCTACCCCGGAAGGATGGAAGGCTGAGTCAACCTTGATCCGGTGAGATTTGAACCGCTGACCTGCTGAACACAGTCAGCTAAAGTGGCCTGCAGTACTGCACTCTAACTGCTCTAACATGACCCTGGGATGCAGCAATCATCAAAAAAACATGCCAGTTGCCAAGGTCTGAATTTTGATCATGTAACCACAGGGGTGGCGCAACGGTCGTAAGTGGGAAAAATAGTCATAAGTCACTTTTTTTAGTGTCATTGGGACTTCAACCGGTCACTAAACGAATGGTTGTAAGTCAAGGACTATTGATAGTGGGAGATGCTGCTTATTATTAGTGTTAAAGAAAAACTCAATGGTCAGTCCAGTCAGCCTTTAGTCAGCCAATGAAGTGGCACCAAATTCTTCCCCATTGCTTACCTTAGTGCTTTACCTTATTTCACTTATACCCTCCAGTCCTCTTCCGTTTTGACCCTCTTTTTCCACCGCATACAGTAGATAGTCCTTAGACTTAAAACTATTCATTTAGTGAATGTTCAAAGTTATAGTGGCACTGAAAGAATTGACTTACGACTGGTCCTCGCACTTACGAAAACTGTAGCATCCCCACAATTGCAGCATCTCAGGGTCACATGATCACCATTTGTGACCTTCCCGGTTGGCTTCTGACAAACAAAATCAATGGGCAGAAGCCTGGTTCGCTTAGTGATGTGATTCACTTAACAATTGCAATGATTCGCTCAACATCTGAGGCAAAAAAGGTTGTAAAATTAGGTGCAACTCACCAACGATCAGCTTGCTTAGCAATGGAAACTCCAATCCCCAATTGTGGCCATAAATTGAAGACTACCTGTACATAGTTCCCTCTAAAAAAAACACCCTTAAACTTCTCATCTCTTTTGATTTCCTCTCCAGTTTCACAACTTCTGAAGCAATTCATTCCACGGGTTAATTGTTCTAACTGTTAGGAAATTTCTCCTTAGTTCTATGTTGCTTCTCTCTTTGATTAGTTTCCATCCGTTGCTTCTTGTCCTGCCTTCAGGGGCTTTGGAGAATACCTTGACTCCCTCTTCTTTGTGGCAGCCCCTGAGACATTGGAACACTGCTATCATGTCCCCCCTCATCCTTCTCTTCATTAAACTAGACATACCCAATTCCAGCAACCGTTCCTTGTAAGTTTTAGCCTCCAGCCCCCAATCATCTTTGTTGCTCTTCTCTGCACTCTTTCTAGAGTCATTCCTCTGAGAAAGGTTTAATAAAAGGGGACCTTTTAGAAACAGAGTCTCAATAACATTAGCATAATTATGCAAAAATGGGATGATTTGCACCTTTGGAGTTAAGAAATTTTTTTTTAAAAAAAGAACAAAACAAGCGCCTTGATCTCTGTATAAAAACAGAACCCAATCAATGTATTTGGATTGTGAATGGAATTGTACTGGTCACCATTTCTCCGGGCTGCCATTTTGTGGGAGGGGTCTTCCCAAAGTTTGTTCCCAAAAGTTTCCAGCATCCTAATGAAGCACCTGGATTTTTATATTAGCTAGCTCCTCCCCTCCACAGCCACCTTACCTTCTGTAGCAATAATATTATTGATATCAAGAGAAGCCACTTCGGCTGCTTCTTCCCGCTTCTGCTTTATTGCTTTGCACTTGGCTAGAGATGGAGTTCCTGAGGAAAGAAAACAGAAAATAAGAGTCAATAAACATGGATATGCAATATTCTGAAATGGCTGCCATTCTGGGACCCAAAATTGAAAGCCCAAAGAAACAAGAGAGCTACTAACAGAAGTCCAAGAGTTTTAAAGACTATTAAGTAGGCAAAAGTGCAATAGTTGTTCACTGACACAGAGCAGTAAGAAAAGAAGGTTACAAAATGGCCCAGTCACAAACGTCCCCTCTCTTGATAAATGGGGAAACTCTAGCTTGCATAGCAGATGTAAGGTTAAAAACTGGCAGACTGTGAGTTCTAGTCCCACCTTAGGCACAGAGCCAGCTGGGCTACCTTGCGCCAGTCATTCTCTCTCAGCTCTAGGAAGGAGGCAATGGCAAACCACTTCGGAAAATTTTCCAAGAAAACTGCAGGCAGTCACCAGGAGTCAACACTGACTCAAAGGCATGCATGCAGACACACATATACACACAAATTATAGAGCCAGTTTGGTCTAGTGGTTAAGGCACTGGGCTAGAAAGCGGGAGACTGTGAGTTCAAGGCCCGCCTTAGCCATGAAAGCAAGTTGGGTGACCTTAGGCCAGTCACTGTCTCTCAGTCCAACCCACCCCACAGGACTGTTGTTATGGGGAAAATAGGAAGAGGATGGTGTGCTGGATATTTTTACCGCCTTCCGTTATTTGTAAAATTAATAAAGGCAGAATACAAATAAACAAAATAAATATAAGCAAAGAGGCCTGAAACAGTCCTCAAGCCCTGGGAAACAAGATACATATTGTTCATTTAGTGACCCTTCAAACTTACAATGGCACTGAAAAAAGTGACTTATGACCGTTTTTCACACTTACAACCTTGGTCATATGATAAAAATTCAGATGCTTGGCAACTGGTTCATATTTATGACAATTACAGTGTCATGGGGTCTCGTAATCAGTTTTTATGACTTTCTGGCAAGCAAAGTCAATGGGGCAAGCCAGATTAATTTAACAACCACGTTACTAACTTGCAATGATTAACTTAACAACTGTGGCAAGAAAAGTCGTAAAATGGGGCAAAACACACTTAACAAATGTTTACTTAGCAACATAAATTTGGGCTCAATTGTGGTCATAACTCGAGGACTACCTGGAAGAAGCTTAAGCAAGTTCCTTGGGCAAGCACCAAGATACAAGGGGTAGAGAGGTAAAGCACAACTGGGCTTGCTAGATTCTGCTAGCTTAGCCTACCTCAATAAAGTACAATTCTAGTCTTTCTGCAGAGTCTGTTTCCTGATCAGGTCCACCATGATGGGCTGACATCAATCTTGCAAGCCTCCAAATCTGGGTGGTCCTTGACTTATGACTGGCTTCTTAGTGAGTGTTTGAAGTTATGACAGACCCCCAAAGAGATACAACCCGGATTCAACATTCCAACAACTTTCCCCCAGTCACATGATTGTATTTTGGGTGTTCAGCAACCCATGTTTATGGTGGTTTGCAGCATCTCATGGTCATGCAGCCATGATTTACAGCAAAAACACCCCCCCCCAATTGTGGATAATAGGTTCACTTAATGATTGCAGTTTTGCTTAACAACCGCTATAAAAAAGATAATAAAATAGGGCACAGTCACTATGTTGTTAAACGATGACCACAATAGCCAGCATGACTTATGATTGCAATTTCAGGCTGAATTTTGGTTATAAGTCATGTGGCCCAGTGGTTAGAATGCAGTAACTGCAGGCTACTTCTGCTGTCTCCCGGTTGTCGGCAGTTCGATTCTGACTGGCTCAAGGTTGACTCAACCTTACATCCTTCCGAGGTCAGTAAGGTGAGGACCCAGATTGTTGGGGGCAATAGGCTGGCTCTCTAAAACTGCTTAGAGAGGGCTGTAAAGCACTGTGAAGCAGTATATTAGTCTTGTGCTATTGCTATTGTTATAAGTCGAGGACTATCTATAAATCCCTGATTCTCTACACCTTGCCCTATAGAGATTAGATACCGGCTCCCTGATGGAGAAGAGGTAGAACACAAGGTCTGCTTCCATAGGCTCCCATGTTCAATCCCCAGCATTCCTTTACTGTTGTTGGTAGTTGCAAAGTCTTGTCCGACTCATCGCGTGTCTCACCCAGGCCTTCCTGCCCTTCACCATCTTCTGGAGTCCCTTTAAGCTCACACCTACTGCTTCAGAAACTCCATCCAGCCACCTCATTCTCTGTCGTCCCCTTCTTCTCTTGCCCTCCATTTTTCCCAGCATTAGGCTCTTCTCCAGTGAGTCCTTCCTTCTCATTAGGTGGCCAAAGTACTTGAGTAATTTCAGGATCTGGCCTTCTAAAGAGCAGTCGGGGTTGATCTCCTCTAGGACTGACCGGTTTGATCGCCTTGCAGTCCAGGGGAAAAGCTGTCTAACAGACTGGCCAGCCACTGCACCTGAAATGTTTAAGAACTAAGCATCCGTGTTTTAAAACTGTGGAGAGCAGCTCAGGAAATACCTGGTGAAATCAGCAAACTACGAATACAGACATGGCTATCTGCAGTTCAGGTAGTCCTCGACTTACAACAGTTCATTTCGGCACTGAAAAATGTGACTTATGACCGTTTTTCAGTTAGGACCTTAGTAGCATTCCTTTGATCATGTGATCAAAATCCAAGTGTGTGGCAACTGACTCATAGTTATGACTGCTGCTGTGTCCTGAAGTCACATGATCCCCTTTTGTGACCTTCTGACAAGCAGAGTCAATCCGGAAAGCCAAATTCGCTTAACCGGGTTACTCATCAACTGCAGTGATTCACTTAACAACTCTGGCAAGAAAAATCGTAAAATGGGGCAAAACTCACTTAACAACAGAAATTTTTGGGCTCAATTGTGATCCTACCTGTATAGGATGTTTTCCATAAAACTGTCCCTAATATTAGCAGTTAATTTATTGATCCTGAAAATAAGTCGTGGTAGTCCTCAATTTAGGACAAGTGAGACCAGGTGCTAAGCAAGACAGTTAAATGAATTACACCCAATTTAATTATCTTTCTTGCCATGTTGTTAAGTGAATCATATGGCCATTAAGTGAATCCAGCTACCTTACTTTGCTTGTTGGAGGCTGGCTGGGAAGGCGCAAATGGCAATTACATGGTCCCAGAGTGCTACAACTGTCATAAATACATACCACTTGGTAAGCAGGTGAAGTTTGATCATGTAATTGTGGGGATGCTGCATCAGTTGTTAAGTGTGAGAACCACATTTTCAGTCCCGTTGTAACTTCGAATACTTGCTAAATGATTGATTGTTGAGGACTACCTGTACTGAAAATCAGTCGGGGTGCTTTAACACGTAATTTGAAAAAATTACATTTGGATTCAGATCCAAATTACCTTAGCAGAAATATAATTTCTTTGCTAACAGCTCAGTCTATTTTGTTAGCCAGCCAGGAGGGTTTCCATCTATGCATTTATGGCTTAGTGTGCCATGGCAACTCAGTGAGCTGTAACCTGTTCCACAAGCCAACATTAAAAGAAACAATGGCTTAGCCATATGTGATTTTAGTATGTTTTCTTACACAGCTCCCCAGAAAGAGAGTCACATAGCTCAATCTAATAATATCTGGTGAATTACATTATTTATTTTATCCCACCTTTATTATTTTTATAAATAATTCAAGGCAGCAATCATACCTAATACTCCTTCATCCTCCTATTGTATTTCCCCCCACCACAACCCTGGGAGGCTAGTTGGCTGAGAGTCAGTGACTGGCTCAAAGTCACCCAGCTGGCTTTCATGCTTAAGGTGGGACTAGAACCCATTGTCTCCTGGTGATTGGCCCAAAGTCACCCAGCTGGCTTTCATGCCTAAGGCGGGACTAGAACCCATTGTCTTCTCGTGATTGGCCCAAAGTCACCCAGCCAACTTTCATGCCTAAGGCGGCATTGGAACCCATTGTCTTCTAGTGATTGGCCCAAAGTCACCCATCTGGCTTTCATGCCTAAGATAGGATTAGTACTCACCATTTTCTGGTGATTGGCCAAAGCCACTCAAGCGGCTTTTATCCCTAAGGTGGGACTAGAACCCACTGTGTCCTGGTGATTGGTCCAAAGTCATCCAGTTGGCCTTCATGCCTAAGGTGGGACTAGAACTCATCGTCTCCCACTTTCTAACATGGTGCCTGGCTACGCCTTGCATCCCCTGCCACTGACCTTTTATGCCGAGACCTTCCAGCTCTTCTTTGAGAACCTCTATCTGAGCTTTGCGAGAGCGACAACCTGCCAGGAGCTTTTTGTAATTCCGCCATGCACCACATTCCCGGATGTAACGTTTTAGACGCTGGATGGAGGGATGTTCTTCGTTCTTTCCAGAATGCTTATCCTACAACAGATGAGGAGATGGGTTAACAATACAGCTCACACTAAGCTTTCCATGAACAATCATGAACAGATCAGAGAAAGGCAACCTTTATTTTTTAAATCAGTACTGAAGTGTTTCGCAATCTTGGCAGCTTTAAGATGGATGGATTTCAACTCCCAGAATTCCCCAGCCAGCCATACTAGTTGGGGAATTCTAGGAGCGGGTCCACCCATTTTAAAATTGCCAACGTTGCAAAATACTGCTGTACAGGTAGTACTTGACTCACAATGATTCATATTGGGACTGAAGTTACAAAGGTCCTGAAAAAAGTGACTTATAATCATCTTTCACACTTATGACCAGTGCACATTGTCATGTGATCAAAATTCGGGTGCTTAACTTGCTATTGGACAATAATCCACACTTCGTTAGAAAAAATCTTAAAGAAACACATAGACTATAAACCAGCATTTTTTTTTACTAGGCATAATGCCAGAAAAACGTGATAAGCAACGTACATATTTGATTCTACACTTGATAACAGCGGAAAGAATTATATTTGCACAATATTGGAAGAATGAAGAAATACCATCAGAAGAAATAATTAAAAAAATATTAGACTGTGCGGAAATGGACAGACTTACTTTAAAGTTGAAAGAAAAAGAAGAAACAGAATATTTTTAAACCTGGGACCTATTTTATCAATGGTTAGAGAAAAGATTTAGGGATTAGGAATTTAATTTGTATTAGTGAATAAGATACTCAGACAACACATTTTTGTTGAATAATTATTATTGAATTCTGTTAAAAAAAGAATAAAAAAAGAATTAAGGCCTTTGAACTATGGTGCCGGAGAAGACTCCTGCGAGTCCCTTGGACTGCAAGGCGATCAAACCGGTCAGTCCTAGAGGAGATCAACCCTGACTGCTCTTTAGAAGGCCAGATCCTGAAGTTGAAACTCAAGTACTTTGGCCACCTAATGAGAAGGAAGGACTCACTGGAGAAGAGCCTAATGCTGGGAAAGATGGAGGGCAATAGAAGAAGGGGATGAGAATGAGGTGGCTGGATGGAGTCTCTGAAGCAGTAGGCGTGAGCTTAAATGGACTCTAGAAGATGGTAGAGGTAAGGAAGGCCTGGAGGAACGTTGTCCATGGGGTCGTGATGGGTAGGACACGACTTCGCAACTAACAACAATAAATATATACATAATTCGGGTGCTTGGCAACTGGCATGTATTTATGACAATTGCAGTGTCCTGGGGTCATGTGATCACCTTTTACGATCTTCTGACAGACAAAATCAGTGGGGAAGCCTGTAGATGTGCTGTGACCAGAATTCTCTACCAGAAAGCAGCCATTTAGCAAACTTCCTTAGCATTCTGGAACTGGAGATCTGATACATTTGACAGGGCTCAGGTTGAGAAGGGCTGTGCCAAGTTTGGTATGGGAATTCTCTCCCCCCCCCCCAGGAATAAGGACCAGTTTGCGTAATTTGGCTAAGCGGCTGTCAGAATGTGGGTGAATGACTTGAAGAGAAATGGCCCAGCTAACAAGGCCTTTAGATTGCCCAGCCTTCTGGTACTCTGAGCTGTGTTCCAGAACAATCTGGAGCAAAGAATGGGACACTGATGAGAAATCAAATAAGAGTCCCTCATGTACTCAGCAGCCAAGCCAATTTGACTCAGCAGTGTGGATTGTGTTGTCTGAAATGTGTGGAATTGCTACACAGTACGAAGTTGTGCCACCTTGCGGTAAAGCTAGCCGTCAATTTATGAACACAACTGACCCTAACATTTCTGTGGCTGAGACATTTGTTAAAGTGAGTTTTCTCCATTTTACCTTTGCTTACCACAGTTGTTAAGTGAACCCCTGCAGTTGCTAAGTTAGTTGTTAAATGGATCTGGTTTCCTCACTGGCTTTGCTTGTCAGGTGACAAAAGGAGATCACGTGATCTTGGGACACAGTAATGGCTCTAAGTATGAGCCGGTTGCCAAGCATCTGTGTTTTGGTAATGTGACCGTGGGGATTCTGCAATGATCATAAGTATGAAAAATGGTTATAAGCCATTAACTTCGGTCACTAAATGAACAGCTGTAAGTAGAGGACTATCTGTATAGATAATCCTTGACTTAAAACAATTGGATCCAGAATTTCCATTGCTAAACAAGGCATTTGTTAACTAAATTGTGCTCTATTTTACGTCCTTTTTGCTTCAATTGTTACGTGAACTACACGGTTGTTAAGTGAAGGCAACTTCCCCCCACTGACCTTGCTCAGGGGTCCTCAAACTTGGCCACTTTAAGACTTGTGGACTTCAACTCCCAGAATTCCCCAGCCACCCATGCTGTTAACAAGTGCCTTGTTTAGCAATGGAAATTCTGGATCCAATTGTTTTAAGTCAAGGATTATCTATACAGATAGTCCTCTACTTACAGCTGTTCATTTAGTGACCGAAGTTAATGGCTTATAACCATTTTTCATACTTTATGATCATTGCAGCATCCCCACAGTCACATTACCAAAACATATGCAAACGGCAATCAGATGACCCTAGGATGTTGCAAAAATTGTAAATACATGCTAGTTGCCAAGTATTCCAATTTTGTTCACATGACTGTGCGGATGCTGAGACAGTTGTAAGTGTGAGGACTGGTCGTAAGTCACTTTTTTTCTGTGCCGCTGTAATTTCAAATGGTTACTAGATGAACAGCTGTAAGTCAGGGACTACCTGAAAGAAAACACACATTGCTGAAGCCCCTGGGCAGATATCCCTAACCTTTCCAGGATGGTGAGAAGTGGGCTCATCCTCTTCTGAGCCGGAGCCCTCTTCCTTGCTGGATTCTTCCTCCTCTTTCTCCTTGGCACCACTTCTTCTTTTGAGCTTTTTCGTTCTTCTCTGCTGCTGGCTTTGGGTTTTTTTCTTTCCCCCAAACTCACTTATTGAATCCTCAGAACCAAGCATGGAGATTTTTTTACTGATGCTCTTTTTCTGTGACTTTGGCGCTCCTTTCTTCTTCAACTTCTCCTCCCCTTGACTTGAGTCACTCCCAGAGACGTGCTTGCTCTCCTTTTTCAGTATCCCCCTCGGACCCCCATCCTTGCTTTCATCTGGCTCACTTTCTGACGAGTGACTTATTAGAGTTGCCTTCCTAAGCTGGTCTTGATTCGTTTCGCGTTGAGCTCCTCTCTTCTTCAACTTCTCCTCCCCTTGACTTGAGTCACACCCAGAGACGTGCTTGCTCTCCTTTTTCAGTATCCCCCTCAGACCCCCATCCTTGCTTTCATCTGACTCACTTTCTGACGAGTGACTTATTAGAGCTGCCTTCCTAGGCTGGTCTTGATTCGTCTTGCTTTGTGATTCTCCTTCACTGCTAGTGGGATCCTGTACCCGCTTCTTCTCCTCTTCTGAGCTCTTATGCTCCTCTGACTCACTTTCAGACTCCTGAATCCTTTGCGTCATCTTCTTCTCTTCCTCCGGTTTCTTCCCGCTCGAGTCTTCCCTCTGCATCTTCTTCCTCCCCTCTCTCTCGTTAGGCTGCCTCTCGGGTTTGGAGTGATGCTGGCTCCCTCTTTCTCCCCTGGCCCTCTTTGTTCCTACCTTCCTCACTGGACTTTGTTCTGCAGAATCCTCAGAACTGCTCCCGGAATCCTCTAGAACTCTACTCTTCCTTCTGCATTGGCTGTCTGCCATCTTCTTCTGTAAATCACTTTTATCAGAATCACTTCCTGAGGCATCCTCACTCTCATTCCCCTTCAAACCCCTCTGGGTTCCCACCCCTATCCTCCCCTGGGCTCTGTTAGTACTAAATGATTTCTTCTCTTCACTCTCTCTTTCATTCCATTCTCTTTTTTTTCCTGAGATCTCTTCTACCTCAGATAGATCAGTTTCTCCCTCTGATTGGTTCTTTTCCTCTCTTTGTTTATTCACCGTCCTATTTTTTGCTTTGTCTTTGGGGTCAGTAGCTTTAGACTCCTTGTCCACCTTTTTCTTGAAGTCTCTTTGCTTCAAGCTGTTCTCTTTTGTGACCTTCCTGGATATTTTGACCTCTTCTTCAAAGTCGCTCTGTCCCGTGTCGGGGACCTCCTCAGAGTCACTCACCACCCTTTTTTGCGAGCCCCTGTTCCCCTGGTCCTTGGCTGATTTGCTGCCTCGTCCTCTCTCCCCTCTTGCCTCCTGAAGGGATGGCCTTCTTTTGCTCCTTGTAATTTCCTCATCACTTTCAGACTGAGCACTGTGATCTTCAGCTCCGGAGTCTCCTTGGCCAGAAGAATCCGAGAAGTTCCTGAGAAGTTTTGGACTCCTGTGCCACAGCCTCTTCTTGGAATCAATCTCAGAATCCTTTTTATCAGAACTGATTTCTGAGAGACAAAACGAAAAAGTGACAAACAGAATCAGGTTGGGGAAGGACAACTGTTACTCTAAAGTAGGAGAGCCCAACGAGAAGTCCTGAATCTCCAAAAGACCTCAAAGCCTTGGATGCCACATCTGGAGAACCCCCAAAGTTGCCATTTTAATGCGACAGAAAGGAATATTGAGAACATGGGGAATAAATCCCCCCCCCATTGTCTCAATTTTGAGCGCTAGTTTGGTCTAGTGCAGAGGTGGGGAACTATCGCCTCTTTATGATTTGTGGACTTCAACTTCCAGGGCTCAGAAATTCTGGGAGTTGACGTCCACAAGTCATAAAAGGGCCATAGTTCCCCACCCTGGTCTAATGGTTAAGGCAGTAGACTAGAAAGCAGAGACCATGAGTTCAAATCCTGAGTTAGCCATGAAAGCAGGTTGGGTGACTTTGGGCCAATCACCAGAAGACTGAGAGTTCTAGTCCCACCTTAACCATAAAAGCTGGGTGACTCTGGGCCAGTCACTCTCTCTCAGCCCAATTCACCTGTTATTGTGGGGAGACTAGGAGGAGGAAGGTGTATTAATATGTTTGCTGTAAAAATAATAAAGGCAGGATACCAATAAATAATATAATAAAAATACCCCCCCCTTTTATTCTAGGTTTGCCCACTTCTGAGGTTCACTCCTTGGAATTCCAGCCAAGGCTGAAAAAAAGTTGCATATCCTTATGAATTTGTTGGGTTATTTGTGGCAAATAATCCAATTGTTGGTAGGTAGGCAGGCAGGCAAAGATCTTCAATTTCAGAAGCCCAGCTCCAAATTAAATATATAGCCTATACAATGCTGCTTTCTTATCATTATGATTGGTCACTTATTTACCTACCTATAACCACTATAGCCTAGCTTCATTAGGCTCTCTGTTTTTCCCTTTAATTTTTTCCAAACCATTTCTGTTTCACTTTTAAAATTGCAAAGCACGTACAAAATACTTCTAAGAACAAAGAGGAAATGGAAAAGCAGGAGGTTAAAAAAAAAAGAGTACGATGGAATCAATACAAGAATAGCAACAGGGATAACAGAAAAGCAAAGACAATAATTTAAGAGAAGGGCGGAAGAAAGCAACGGATTTGATCTGGCCCCAGCAACCACTCCAACATTCAGTCACCAGCCCTTCCCAATCAAGGGATTTGGGATATATTGAACTCCCAGAATGCAATGCTCAGCCAGCAGGGGTAGGATACCTGTCCCCTCCAGATTTCTTTAAATTCCAGAAAGCATAATCAAAATCCAAAGCTTTCAGGATTGTTGGTCCAACATAATTGGTGGCCCATCTCTGGATTCAACGCAGCCTGACATTTGCTGAATGGAAGCCTGAATAGAGGCTCATTTGTAGCAGATGGAGAAAGATGATAAACAGCAAATGGATGGTACTATATCGATTCAAAATGCAAATGAAGATGGTTTTATATCACAGTCTCACAGCAATGATTCAGAACAGGCATGTCAAACTGTCAGCCCATGGGCTGGATGCGTCACGCTGAAACCGCACCCACCCCATTGCCGGCAATGGGAGAAAAGTCACATGACATCGCAAGTTTGACATGCCTGATTTAGAAGATCAGCGTTACAGGACAAACTTTAGTTCACCTGCATCTCTTTGGATTAGGCAGAAATACTCTACCTAAAAAACAAAACAAAAAAAGTTTTACAGCACTTTTTTCCCACAGGATCTTTATGAAGCCAGAAAAAATCTTGCCTCCTATTATTCATGGTAGGTTTACACTAAAGTTGTGGGAATTGTTTAAATTGTTTATTACTTTGTAGTACAAAAAGTCTTACAGATATTATTATCCTGATTTATATGTACTGCACTTAGTCATAAATGCAGACTAAATATTACTACCGTTATTACTAAGCAAATTTAACATGTATATGTGTATGCAGCCATTATGTTTTAAAGTTCCCGGTGAATTATTGTATGTACTACAAATCCACAAAAGTTTTTTTTTCATATCCTGGTCCTTTTAAGCATGCCTTCTAAAGAACATATGCTTTTGATAAAAATCCCAAGAAATGATAAATCAGCCCTTTCTCACAGAAAAGTGTACTTATCACGATCTGTCATCAAAGTACTATTATGGAGAGATCCTCAAAAGAGATCAACTCTCACTAGGGAGGACAATTTTCAGGGAAAGTATGAAAAACCAACTGCTGCTTTACTAAAACAGTTTTGTTTTTCTTCCATTTATAATGGATTTTAAAAGTAAATTGAGGGTTATTCTAGTTAAGCATAGAACATTAATGCCATGCTATTGTCTATAGGAAACTTGATAAGAAATTTCAGATTGTTTGTTGATGGATGTGGAAATCCCAGTGTAAATAGCATAAAGAAATTAAAGCATACCATTCTTTCACCCTGAACTATGCTCTTCAGAAAGCAGTAATTTCATTGCAAAAATGACCTATTATTTTTGAATACTCAGAAAGCCAGTATACTGCAGATTCCGATTATGCCTTTATAATGGGCAGACCCAAATCCTCTCCCAGTCCAACCCACAGGGGTTTTATTGTGGGGATAAAATTAGAGAAGGTCTCTATTTATGGCAGCTGGGCTGTTAAGAGCTCAAGCAGACTATAAATGCAATGAGTAAACAATAATAAATAATCCAATCTAGCACTACACAGTAGTCAATAAGTCTTTACAAAAATATGTACGGCTGGAATGGGATGGCCCTGGTCTATTGCCACTTACCAGCAGCCAGAATTTTGCATACTGGTGGTAATGTAGTAAGTATCATAGAGTCCCCACAGTTAATAGTCTGGTTCTCTATGAATCTATTTCTCTATTAAAATCATCTGAATTGGCAGTCATTACTATCTCTGATAGTAGCAAATTAACTATTCAATCAAGTTCTTGTATTAGTCCTAGATTCCCCTTGATTGAATTTTAGTGGATAACCTGAGCTCTAAGTGAAAGAGAGAAAAAAATATCTACATGTTCCACACCATGCATGATACCATATATCTCTGGTGTTTCTCTTCATTTCCCTTCAGTGTAAGAGGTCAAAGCCTCAAAACTGTGGTGATCCTTCCTCATGGGGAAGTCCCTGCAGCCTGTAATCCTTTCTGTATCTTTTCATTATACTATATACCACGGTAGATTTCTTCACAGCTGCAGAAAAAGATAGGAAAGCCATTTTTCACGAACATTTACCAAAATTTGAAAATAAATTTAAAGCCCCATTTATATTTAGCTTCTACCAGTTCAGAAAATATTGGTATACTGGATAGTACATGCTAAGCACCAACACATAAAAATACAATTACCTAACTTCTTTTCAATCTTTTGCCTTTTATGCTCCTGTTCATTTTTAATTTCTTCCTCTAAGCTATGAGAGGTATGAAGGGGTCTCTTGCGGTCTCCAGATTTGAAGGAATTCTGGGCTTCAGTCCTTAAATCTACATTGCTTGGGGGTTGATCAACCTGTGATGCATAACATTAAAAAAAGTTATAAACATATATGGATCCATTTCATTCTTTACCAAAGTATAACACGTATGTTTTCTCCTCTCCTAAAATTAGCACCTTCATCTGGACCAGTTCTTCCTCCACCAGTTGTTTTAGCTGCTCCTTCTCCTGTTTAGATAGATTTTCCAGCCCAACATGGTCAAGATACTTCTTCCGAATGATGGCATGAGTGAGGATGCTGCAACAGACCATGATAACATTAGACAGCATCTGCTAAGCAACCACACAATATTTGTTTATATGGTATGTATTAAGAACAAGGATGGGGAATCTGTAATCCTCCAGAAATTGACTTTTCCTGCTGCCCATAATATTGAATAGGGAGAGATGGAGTTCTGAATATCTATAGGTCACAAGCTGGGTCTCACCCAAATTTCTATCTGTAGGCATATCCACCCAAATACTTATCTATAGACCACAATATGGGCCCCACCCAAATTTGTCCTCTAAAGTCCAGGATTTTTTAAACTATAATCTCCCATATTTGCTCTTCTATTTAAGCTTACTCTTCAGAGATGCAATTCTTTGATTCTCCCTTTGTAAATTACCCAGGAAACACGTGCTGACTGAGGATTGTACAATTCTGGAACCAATGTTGTCATCTAGGGATCACAATTTCCCCCCAGATTATGCTGAGAACATCTTCCAATCTAAATCTTTTTTCTACCAACATGCTGGTGGGTTTTTAATTTTTCATCGTGCTTAAGGTGATACTCATCTTCAGCACTTGTTGCCAAAAGGTTTGTTTTTATTTAATCTGTATCCTTTTATTATTTTTACAAATAGCTCAAGGTGGCAAATATATCCAACACAAGTTCCTCCTCCCATTTTTCCAACAACTCTGTCAAGTGGGTTGGGGAGAGGAAAAAGTGACCAGCTCAAAGTCACCCACTGGCTTTCGTGCCTAAGGCAGGATTTGAACTCAGAATCTTCTGCTTCTAGCCTGGTGCCTTAATTACTAGACCAGTGGTTCTCAACCTTTTTAATGCCGCGACCCCCAACCGGTCGTAAGTCGAGGACTATTCAACCGGTTGTAAGTCGAGGACTACTCAACTGGTGCAGCACCGTTTGCAAAATGGGACTTTTGGCAGGCTCAGTAGGGCAGAGACAGCCTGGACAATTCCTATTGGCTTTTGAAAGCCAATAGAATCAGACTCTATTCAAGAGAGTCTCTTCTATTGGCTTTCAAAAGCCAATAGAATAAAAGGGAGTAGCACAGCTAAAGAAAAGGGGGAAAAATGGAGGACTGCGTTGTTTGGCGACCCCCGTGAAATGGTTGTTCGATCCCAAATGGGGTCCCGACCCACAGGTTGAGAACCCCTGTACTAGACCAACTATGATGATGGAGTCAAGACCTGAGAAATCGTCCTGAGCTCCAACCGCTACATCTGCTTCTACCACTCGGTATCCTCCAGCCATACGGGACGCTACACCACCCATAATTCTCAGCCGGCAAGGATGGGATTGCGGGCTAGCCTGCCGGGGCAAACGATTCTGAAGGTATTGCATTCTGCAAAGGAGCCATCAATCTCGGCTAAGCACGCTTCAGTTCCCTCCCTCCCTTTGCCCCAAGGACCACCCGGAGTCTGAGCCGCACCTGAGATCAGGGCTTCCCTGGAAAACCCTGGAGACAAAATCACGCATTTTTTGCGGCTGCCCAGTAGCTCCTCCTGACATCCTTTCCCGCCAAATGGCACCTGCGAGCCAACGTAGCCCTTCCCTCTGCAACGTCTCATAGCAATTGTAGTTCCAACCGTGCGTAAAGAGGCGTAGCCGGCAAAGGCAACAAACGAAATGCGCATGACCGAGCTCTTTACCCCACGGCCTCATGGGAAATCTATGAGCCAATGACGATGGAGGGCCTGCCCTGCAGACTTCTTGGGAAATGTAGTTTTTTCCTCTGAGAAACGCTGCAGAGTCCTCCTGCTTGGTGGGTCTTTCTGAAGCTCGCCCCCTTGTGCAATCGTTTCTGCAAATAAAAATTGAACTTAAAGAAAAGAAAGGTGATTGGCTGAACTTTCATTTATTTCCGTGGTTTATTACTTGATAAACCACAGTAGAATCTGTAATCCAAGTAGAATGAGCTGGATTTTACCCCAAACGTCATTGTAGCAATCAAGTGCTTCATTAATTTCCTATCTGGAGAATGGATTCCAAAGAAAAATGAAAAATGTCTGTTTTTTGTTGACCTCTCAGCGGCCTATGATAGTGTCTGGAGAGGATTTCTCAAACAAATCAGTTATACCTTGTAACACCATTACCTTGATTGACAACATGCTATCATGTTAAATAACAGGTTATTTCAAGTTTTTACAGAATACAATAGATGCAGATAAGTTGAATAATGAACTCCCACAAGAATCAATGCTATCCCCTGCTCTTTTTAACTTATACATCCATGACCTGCCTGAAACTGTTTCTCCAAAATTTATTTATGCCGATGATATCAATCTTACAGTCAAAAAAAAAACCAACTTCAGTGATGCAGAAGAATCCTCTCTCAAGATTTTCAGAAGCTGGATGAGTACTTCAAAAAAATGGCATCTCCAAATGGTTGATGTCCAACTCTTCCAGACAATGCATATTATCTCTGGCATGTTACATCCCACTTTTATGCATTGGTTACCAGTACTCAGCAACATCATACCACTCCACAGTGAAGACAACAAGTTCCCATTTGGCTATGGTGAAGGATGCTGAAAAATAAGGTCCTCTCTATTCACCAGAACAATGCACAGCCCATCATAAGATTGATATCCTAAAGGCCAGCTTGGAAAACAGCTATTCAGTTAACATTTACCCAGTTTAACTCCGAGAATGCCTAGAGAAAGGAATGGTCCAAGATACCTTCTTGTGGCCTGATCGTTAGTGATCCCTCTACCAAACCACCTAGTTTTGATCTTGCTTTGTCTGCTCGAAATTGGACAGAATTAGATGTGGCACTGGAAGAAGTGCCTCTGCCCTGTATCAATGGGGATGGAAAGATTCCCTTTGTTGCAATCATGGTGCTGATATCCCAACTGTTAAATATATTGCGCAAGATTGCCTACCACATATGTTCTCTGATTCCCTAGAAGATTTGCATGAAGCAATGCCAGAGGCGATTGCCTGGATAGTTGAATTGGATATCCAGTTATGAGGCCACTGCCATAACCACATAGAAGTTTTAATAACAAGGGCTGTATATATGTTTACTTCTGTCATGTTATTATACAGTATATAATAATTACTCAGTAGTTTCTACCTGGTTAGCATTGTGAGGTTTTTTTTTAAAATGTGATTTATTACTACATTATTATGGTGTTTTTTTATTTCATGGTGCCTGCCTAGTTTGATTCGGCCGAGCTTCAAAAATGTAAAACAAATGATCACACGGCAAACAAAGTGGACATCAATTCCTTTTGAGTTGGGACCAATAGCATAACTTTTGGAGCTAATTTACCCAACCTGGGGGCAAAAGTGAACTTGATGGGGGAACTGTTCTGTAGCTTTCTTCTAGCCTGGCTTTGTATTCCTTGACTGTATCTCCAAATTTCTATTCGTAGGAATGCATGGTTGGCCAATAACATTCCTAAACTGTGCCAAAGATTACAGTAAATCACTGAAAGCAATAAGGGAAGCAAAGAGATGGGGCAAAATAGTGTAGAAAATGCGTTCATCCATAACCAAAGTGAGACAGAAAGACATTTTACTAGGCTAAACTCAGTTCTACTACTGTTTCTTAACAAACATGGGTAGGATAGAAAATAAAGTAAGAACGCTGAACATTAAGAAAAGCTTCACCACGACCCGTTAGTTCTTTTCCTCACAATGCATATTGGGAGATGTAGTTCCGAGCTCTCCACGTGCCCGCTTTCCGAAGCATGCCGGGAAATGTAGTTTTTCCACTCCAGCTTTGTATCGCGGTTCCTGTCCCACGTTACTTCCCCAGGCGGGCATGAACGGAGCAGGAGAGCCCGATCCGGGCGGTGGGGGCTACAAGAGACGTTATAGAGCCTTAAAGAGGAGGCTCAAATTCCTGATTTATGTAAGCGGCAGGGAATTTCGGGGGAGGAGGGGGAATTGGTGCAGGCAGAAAGAAAGGGGATGGGTTGGAGGAGCAAATAATTTAAGAAGACCTTGGCATGGTGGGGGCGAGACTAATAAGGGGAGTTTACAAGAAAGAATAAATGATAAAAATCATAGTGACCGCATGCCTCCGAAACAGTTAAAGAGATCCTGTCATTTGAGGCAGGAAGGCAGCACGTGTGGATGTTGAATAAATTTAGGTGTGATTACAGGTAAGATGAGGGTGATCAGAGAGACAAGACCTTCTAGGACGGTGGATGTTATAAAAAGATTATTATTTTGCCCATGTGGTCCATAAGAAGGCAGTGGTGCGTGACATATTTAACGTAAATATAGGGTTTGGCGTTTCTCAACCATGGCAACTTAAGAATATGTGAACTTCAATTCCCAGAATTCCCCAGGTTGAGAAGCACTGCTCCAGAGGCTCAGGTTCTAACTGACCTAATTTGTTTTGTTGGGAGCAGCTCAGAAATAATTTGCCCTTGCCTTATTCTGGGATGTATTTTGGAGTTATCTGTCTCCATACAGCCTTAGTGGTCACTCATTCAGCAATTAGTCAGATCCAACTAACTTTAGTTTTTACAGGCCAGCGTGTAATATACACATCTACAATTTGTGACTGACTACTTTGCTGACCATCCTGGTAAACTAGTACTGTTTGTTCAGGTGTCACATATTAGGTGAACCCAGCAATTGTGTTATATTCACACCTTAAAAGTTGCTAAAGTTGAGAAACACTGAACTAACAGGTTATAGAATTTGAGGAGAGGGTTAGTCCCACAGGATGCCCATTTGGGTCATAGACCCTGCTTTCCAAACCACTATGATTGGGTTCACATAATATGCTAAGGCAAAATTAAGCAAACAACTTAGTGAAAGAAGAACTTTGTCTGTCAAATTAGGAGTAGTATAAAAGGGATGATAATACTAATCTGTCTTGCAGGTTGCTGGGATTAGCTGCCCCCCAAGGCCCCCCCAAATTTGAATTTATCTCCATTTAATTCAGCCAGTTAATATTATCACATTAAAGAGCTATTTTCTTAAAACAGAATTCTGCCTATAGAGGAATAATTCACAAAACAATACTGTAAAAAGCTAACATGAATAATTATATTGATGATGTAGATTGTCCTCAGTTTATGATTGGTTGCTTAGTGACTGAAGTTATGACAGGTGTTCCCAGAGATACTTATACACTGATTCAGTTTGTTGGGGGTTGTCACATGAGAGCATGTCGGGCAGTTGACCCACATTTATGACATTTGCAGCACCTATGGTTATATGACCATGTTTTATTATATTTTTGCCCGGACTGCCATTTACTTCCAGTTTTTGGCAAAAAATGGCCTATAACGAACAATGGATTTGCTTAATGCTTGCTGCAAAAAAGGTTGCAAAAACAAGCTGTTCACGTGGATGACCACATTATGACTCACAACCATAATGGGCATGGTCCATTATGGTTGTAAGTTGAGGACTACTTACAAGAGAGCCAATACAGCAATACAAAATCTAACCAAGGACTGAAACTTAAACAAGTAGCTGCAAATGTGCTTTTTTCACCAGAAGGCAACGACTATTTTTTTTTTTTTTTGAGAAGGAGGAAGAAAAAAATGTTTTACTTCCCATCCAAAAAGTTTCATCAGTTCTGTTGGGGTGTGTGTGTGTGTGTGTGTGTGTGTGTGTGTGGAGAGCAATTTGCTGCTATGTGGTGGCTCAGAAAAGCTGCAATTTTTACTGTGCCTATTTGCATGATTTTTATGGAGGGGGAGGATCAACCCCCAAAGAGGTAAAATGAACCAGGGGTGGGCACTGTCTGGGTTGACACCTGGCACTCGCTTAATCTTTTCAGATCCCAGATGTATGTGGAAAAGTGAAATAAAAGATATTGAAATGCTGGTTGTATGTTAAACATTTATTGATCTCCATTATTTGATATGAGGGAATGATGAATTTCTCCTACAAGGTACCATCTATTTTGTGACCCAGTGAGTTGCTACTTTTTACAGTTAAGGCAGCAAGGCTGAAAGGAATACAGGTAGTCCTTGACTCAACAATCACAGCTAGCCCAAAATTTCTATTGCTAAGCAAGACAGTTGTTAAATGTGTTTTGCCTCATTTTAGGTCCTTGCTTGGCACAGTTGTTGAGTGAATCCTGTGCAGTTGTTATGTAAGTAACAAGGTTGTTAAGTGAATCTGGCTTTCCCATTGACTCTGCTTATCAGAATGTCACAAAAGAGGATCACTTGACCCTGGGAGACTGCGACCGTCATGAATATGAGCCAGTTGCCAAGTATCTGAATTTTGATCATGTGACCAGGGGGTTGCTACAACAGTTGTAAATGTGAAAAACAGTCACCCGTCACTTTTTTTCACTTTTTTTGAATGATCATTAAACATATGGTTGTAAGTTGAGAACTATGTGTAATAGATTCTACCCGACATTAATTATATTATGCTTCTATTTATTAGAAGTCTGACAAGATGTGTTAAAGTTCCTAATCTATTTTCTTAAACATTTTAAAGTGTTATGTTACAAAGATTCAGAGATTTTAATGGCATTGTTTAAATCAGAGGTCTTCAAACTTGGCCCTTTTATGACTTGTGGACTTCAACTCCCAGAATTTCTCAGCCAGCATGCCTGGCTGAGGAATTCTGGGAGTTGAAGTCCACAAATCATAAAAGGGCCAAGTTTGAAGACCCCTGGTTTAGATTTTAGATTTAAATT